TTTCCTACAGAAGAACTTTGAGCTATGGAAACCTCCAATCATACTACGATGGGTACATTCTTGTACAGCACATCTGTATTATCTTTGTCAAGATCCAGCAGGTAATTAGCAAAGAAGGCAATAAAAAAGAAAAAGAGTATATAAGGGAACTAATTGTTGGGACCCTTACGTCCTCTTGCAGCACCACCACCAACTCTTCCTGCTACACCTGCTGCTGTAATTGTTTGTTGTTGCGTATGTATATGTATATATGTATATATGTATATGTATATGTATATGTACATGTATATGTACATGTATATGTATATGTATATGTATATGTATATGTATATGTATATATGTATATATGTATATATGTATATATGTATATATGTATATATGTATATATGTATATATGTATAAATGTATATATGTATATATATGCAGGGAATAAGTTATTAAATAATTATAGGGAGAATTGGTCATTAAGTTATTTATTAATAGATATAAATCGTTATAAAGAGATAAGAATATCTGAATTTAATAAACATATTATACTCCCTACTCATCTATTAAATAGTCATGATGAGGACACCATAGGAGGAGGAGGAGGAGGAGGAGGGAGGAGGAGAAGAGAAGAAGAAAGAAGAAGAAGAGGAGCAGGAAGAATAAATAGTCCTCCTCTTCGTCTCTTTATTTCTCTTCGTTCTTCTCCTTTTGTTCTTTTCTTTCAGACAATTCTTCCTTGGAATCAAATCGATTATACAGGTTATTTATTTATTTATTTATTTATTTATTTATTTATTTATTTTGTTTATTTATTTATTTAGTTATTTATTTATTTATTTTTTGTTTATTCGTATTTAAATGTATATGTATAATGTATACATGGATGTATATATTGATGTATATATGCATAGGGGCAAAGAGACAGGGATAGGGAGATCTATATATAGATATAAATATAAATATATATAAATATACATATATATATGTATGTATGTATGTATATATATACATAAATATATACAAGGATGTGTATTTTTTTTTTCTTGTATATTTACAGGTTTACAGGCACAGCCAATTTATTTGAGTACTTTATTATTTAATACAAAAGATTTCTTTTTTAATATTTTCTCTTCTTTTTTATCCTTCGCTAAATCAGCTGTACATACACTCCGATGCAGGTGGAGGATTGCGGGGTAAACAGAGAGAAAAAAAAAAGAGGAAAGATTTTTGTATATATATATATA